CCGTCTCGATTTAGTGCATGTGGTCGTGCCGAGGCCACCACTTGTCATTCGCCATTAATGGCGCCACGGCCGCTCTACTATGTTGCCACAGCTCACATGAGGGCATGCCCCCTCTCCTGGCTGCGCTGGCTCGCAATGATTGCTCGGGTGCGGTCGTCACGTCCCACCAAGGCTCGGGCAGGCAGCTGGACCCCATTCCTTTATTTTCCCCTCCCTCCTCTGCTGCCGGTCCGGCCAGGCCGCACCACCAATTCGGCATGGATAGGTCGTGTCCATTCAATTCAGCGCGCTTCCGACTCCGTCTTCAAGTCTACTGGCCAACCGACCCCGCACCGTGTCACATCGTGCCTTAGCAAGCTTCAATTTGGAGCCGGCATCCACCGTCGCGCCATTAAAGGCTTAGACACCGTTGCCGTCGACACTACCTGTCTGGTCCTCCCGAGCCCAATTGGTTGCACCCCTAGCCTCGCCTTGTAGTCCTCCATCCCATGCGTACCCCTCTTTCACCGCCACTGCCTTCCCGGCACAGCTGACACGGTCACGCCACCACCGTCCATCGTGGACCTTGCCGTGCGCGCGTGGCCGAACGCACCCGGTCCATCCCTAGCCAATCCATCGCCACAGGTAGTTTCGGGGGTGAGTCGCTGATGCCCATTCCTTGGTGCGTTCATGTCATTTGTGCCTTGGCTCACGGGAACATGGCCGCCACCGCTGCAGGAGGTCCGCCGCCGTGGAGGGAGCTCTGGACTGCGTCTCCATTCGTCGCTTCGCCACCCACCGCTTCGAGTTTGCGTCTAGGTGAGCATCGGCTCGCTATCGGGGGCGGAGAGGGGCTAGGCTGGCCGGCGTAACCGTCCTGTGCCAGCACCGCCGCACCGGTGCGCGCGCGGGTGCCTGGGGACCTAGCCATGGTAAAGATAGGATGTTCTGAGGGTTAGATTGCTTAAACACTGACTGTAGGAACAGTGTTGTGGATTGCTGATTGATTCGGTAGTACTGCAGGGACTTTTGAGCAAATGTGCCGGAGCACGCAGGCCTTCCCGTCGTGGGCCGCCGACGCGCAGTTGGCTGCGCCGCGTGGGCCGCACTGGGGGGTCGCGTGTGCGCACGCGCTGCGCGTGAGTAGGCCGAGCCACTCGTGCGATGGGCCGCACGGGTGGATTCGGTTTTTCATTTCCAGGGAATTTGTAAATGTTTATTCAATTTAGTTTTGAGCTGATCTTTGTAAAATTATAGTAAATTTTGTAGGTGTCTAAAAATAGTGAAACAAAATTTATTAGGTTCACAAAAAATGCTATCGATCTGTTGGTGTAGTTAGTTTACAGTGATCTGTGATAATGATAGATTCATTAATTTGTTTAGGAACGCTTAGTATTATTTAGCTTAATATTTGTAGGATTTTTTGTGGCAAATCTGTGATAACTTTAGCCATGAAATTTTTACAGTAGGTTCATTAGATTATTATGTGTTCACTGTAATTTTTATAGCCCTAGAGTAGGTTGATAAATAGAGTAGTTAGTACTCCTTGTTTTATCGTATATATGGTAACTCGATATTAAGAGTAAGAATGCCTTTAGTTGCTAGGTAATACATGAAATATTTCATATCTGTTAATGGAAATGATAGGTAACTTAGCGTCTTAGTCGGTAGAGCTAGCTTAGTAGTTTGATAGATGTATTCGTATTTTAAGAGTTGCTGTTGCTGTATTACTAAGTGATGCATCATCATTTCGTGCATGTAGATAACGAGTTGGTAGAGTTCATGTCTGCGGGCAAACAGGACTACGAGGATTTCATTGAGGAGTACGAGGAGGAGATTCTCGTACAGGAGGGAGCCCCGGAGCCATCAGTTGCTGACTTTGTCGACACCCCGCCTGCCCAAGGCAAGCCCTAGTGCATAACCCTTATTTTTGAATCATCACTGAATATATAAATGATGTGTATTTATGTTACAGGCATTTTATAAAAACTACATGCACAGAAAAACATACCTATGAGTCCTACTAGTATAGGTTGAGTAGCTACTATGCTCAGGATTTCGATAGCGTGAGTGACCTACCGTTACTCACAATAGGTGATTATTATGATCACTGATGATAAAATGGTGGAAAGATAAAATAGAGACCGGGCAGGGATATGGTTTGGGTATTAGTGGGTGTAAGAGGTTGCGTCCTGCGTCCAGCAAGGCATAGCTTGGTTACACTTTTTCTTAGTCTGTGTCGGTTAAGGACCAGCCGTTGCATTGGGTTCTAGGCAAGTCACGGACTTATTATCTCGAGCACATACTTGGGTATGGATGCAGGAAAGGCTTGTTGCTCTCTTGTCGTGGGTTTTGGCTCTTTCCGGACTGACTGATTGGAGGCAGAGATGGTAGAGGTCTAAGCACCGCACTGAGTCTGGGACTCAGGAGTAGGGGCTTGGAGTCTAAGTTTGGACGAGGACCTGGACCCCGTGATAGGAGAGTGATGGGTTGATCCTGCTTGTGCCTGGGGCACAAGCGGAGCATGTGTTTTGGGGTACTCAGTTGGGCACATTGATTCATGAATCACCGGCGTTCTGGAACGGTTTGTCTACAGTCTAGCACCGTAGTAAGAACTGAAAGATGAAAGGTGATGAAATGGAACTGTTTGCTCAACTCTTGCTTAAAAGTAGAACAAGTGCTTACATATAATGGCTAGATAATGAATTAATCATGGCTGCTAATAATAACATGAATAAGGATTCACTATTAGTGTTGCTTTCCGTAAAAAGGGAACCCAGCAAACCATAAAGCTTATCATATTCCTTGGAGTCGGGAAATTATTCCCTCTAGTCGGATAAGTCTTATGAGTACATTGTGTACTCAGGGTTTATTTACCCCTGTTGCAGGTAGTGCCTGAGGAGTAGCCGTTGTGTGAAGGATTCATCTGGTGGGTACAGACGGATCCTTGTTTATTATCGATAGATGTTTTTTTCCATTCCGCTGTTAAATTCTGCACTCTGAATTTGGTACTGTAATAATATATTTCTAAGAACTCTGGATGTATGAAATGGATTAAGTGATGTAAACTCGTTCTCATTATTGGATCCTGCAGAAAAAATGTGGATTATTCGGGCTCATCCTTGGGGTGTGCTCGACGGAATTCGTCGATGTAGCTCGCTCTCGGGGTGCTTAGCGTCTAGTGGTAGACGAGCGCCTCCGTAAGTATGTTTTTTCGGGCGGTTTTGCCACAGTGATGAACTAATTTTATCACTTGTCTGATTAATGGTGGATTGATTGTGGTTGATGGTTGGATTTGTAACGGGCTTGGTAACTCCTGTGTGCCTTCGTGATATGCAGGTTCATTATCTACTTTTCACCTTCCACTGTCGGCTCTTACAAAAGAGGTGCTCATTGGGAGAATAGGGCTCCAAAACCCCCTACTACCGTCATGTTCGCTTGAGCTTATTCAAAACTACTTTTCAGTTATAGAATAGTATTTTCCTCTCACAACATTTTAGAATAAGCCAAATTTCAGCATCAACGAACAGGGTGGTACATCTATTCGGATGTATGAGCAATTAGGTTTTTGAGAGCGCTTCATGTAACTGTTTCCTCTCTCTGTTCCTAGCAACTTCTCAATACCGGACATGAGGCAAACGGGAACGACTACATGATGTCATTTCTGCAGTGCATCGAGCATGAACAACTATATCGTTCAATCCGCTATGTCAATCACTAGGAATAGCGTCACAAGTGCCTTTCGCACAGGTCCTGTCTCTAGGTGTACTTCTGCAAGTACTATTGCTTTGTTTTTCACCCATATGGTCAGTACTATATTAAAATTTATATGAATATCTAAGAGCATCAACGCGCAACATGTGATTAGATGGAGATTGATCGAACAATGATTGAGTGGGGTTGGGGCAGAATCCTATGCTCCGTGAGATCAGATAATTAGATGCTTTATAGGCCCCGTTCGCTGGTCTGAACTTTGGCTGAAACTGGCTGAAAAACACTGTTCCGGCTGAATTGTTGTGAGAGAAAAACACTGTTTCAGCTAAAAAAACAAGTCGAACAAGCCAAACTTTAAGACAAGCGAACGGGGCCCTAGACTCATACAATTGCAAGTACGGTGTTCGCAGCCAAAATAGACAGGCCCACGCAAAATGCGAGCACCGGATAGAGTATTTTGACTTTTACCTTGAAAAATAAACCTCTCGCCTTATATAAATATAAAGGTTCACGACCGACTAAGGTATCAATCGATCGAAATACAAAAAAACAATATACTATTTTTTTTAAAAAAAATAGTTTTTCCAAACCCTGTATCAGGTGTTTTGTACAAGTTTCTCAACGGTTTTTATGGGCATTCTAGATAATTTCACTGATCCTATAAAAATGCTATAAGTGTGTCTTCCCGATGTATTTTCCTGAAGATGTTCATGGATCTCCTCGATGAAAAAAAACAAACAGCGGACAGTCCGCCACGTGCTTTTTCTAATCATCAGTAGTCAGCGAGTTCCAGCACTACAGTACAGATTGTGCTCAGATTTTCAATGGCTTTCACAATCACTGGACGGTCCAGTGCTCAGGCTTTTAACAGCACTTGACCATCACTGGGCGGTCCGGTGACAAGCTTTTTCAACAGCACTTACCGATCTGTGATCCGCACATAACGGCTTTCACCATCATCGGACGGTCCGGTCCTCAGGTTTTCAACAGAACTTGACCGATCTGTGATCCGCACGGGGAAATAGCCGGACGACCGAAGTTCAAAACCAACGGCTGAAGATCAGGATTTTGCCAGTCACGCATGCCTGCCAGAAATCGCATGCATGGATCTTAACTTCGCAAGGGAGGATGTGTAGCAACATGAGTACTATTCATACCAGAAAAACGCCAAATTAAACAGGCAGGACTGAAGACTACCGACTACGTCGGACATATTGTGGTTTTGCCCAGATAGTCCATGTCCAACACTATGGAAATGACAGAAGGATTACATAAATCTAACTACTATAACACTTAGTAAAACATCATCATATTCCCAAGGGAGCAGCGCTGAGAGCATGCAGAGCACCGGGCGTAGAATGGCCGTGCCCAAACAAGTCTAGCACCCGGGGAGTTTGCTGGCCCGATTCGTAGTTCCCTTCTTTCACACCACCTCCCTCTGTTCCAAGGATCTTCTCAGTCAAGGAGAAACCAAAAAGTTTACAGCTGCTTCGCCCGATGCCATTGTTGACCAATCCAGAGTTAGCAATACTTGCAGGAGCTGAGGCTTCAGTTATGTCGAGAGGCTCGCTTCCATTTTCGCTCACTCTTTGCTGCTGCATGGATGGCCATGGTTCAGCTTCTCTCTCTAATGCAATGGATGAGTACCCGCTGCCATATGCTTCTTCACGGTTGGTCACACCATCTAGCTCAGCATGTGGTACCATGGTTTGGTTAAACATAAGAACAGAAGAGGGCGAATGCACTTCTGCGGCTGGCAGATTAAACTGCTGGAGACCATATCCTCGACTTGCAGCTGATCTCTGCACATAATCAAATGATCGAAGCCTGCCATTCTGTTTGCCAGCATTGAAAGCAGCTCTCATGAAAGAAGGAACCACCTGAGACATTTCTTGACCTTGCAAGACCTCTGAGAATTTGAAAGATTCAATGAAGCCTAGGGGATGGTAAGCAAACCCAGTGGCATTTAGGTGTTGATGGCCACTCATTGCATCATTCATCTTGCAGTTCCACACATCGGCAGAGAATCTCCTTCCATAAGAGCCTTGACATCTGGGGGTATCTGATGAATGAGAGCATGCAACACCATGAATCCTAGAGTGCACCAATTCTTGACCTTGCAAGACCCAGTGGAAACGTTCAGCTTCCACAGAGTCTGGACGACCATTTCCATCTACATATTTCATGCAAATAGTTAAATGGACCTGACTAAAGGAACTTTTTAGCTATGAATCTGTATTATAGTTTCATGCTGTGGAACCTACCCAGAATTGGTGCGTCCAAATCACCTTGGGGGAAGCACAACTTTGTTCGCTTCGAAACAGAAGATGAAAGACAGTGATTAACTGAAACTGAGCTGCCAACTCTCTCGATGTCCCATGGAGATACTCTATTCTGGTGGCTGTACTTAGTATCACCATCCCACTTTACCTGTAAATCATGCAAACAGATGAGAAGAAGGAAAGTACCCCCAAGACATACATTAAGTCGAAATAAGTACTAACTCACTTAAACAATATATCCATTTCTATTTATATTGCGTAGGAGGTTAGATTATAAAAGCACCAAGAATCTTTACACCATCTCACCATATTTAAGCATAGTTGTGGACCATATTAGATTTGGGTACACAGACCACTCTAGGTTACACTTTTCCTACCCCACATATATATAGCCAGGTTGGGTTCAACCTTAATGATGATCCTACTTCCACCCAAAAAATCAGCAAGTGGAAGATCAAAGTTTACCAACTTGTTGAAGTTCATTGCAAGCTAGTCAGGTCGAATTCAGTGGGTTAAAGGTATCAGTAGTACACCACAATTAAGAACGAGAGGAAAATCTGGCTATGGCTCAGGACGTCTAAAATGCATACCAGGAGAGATTTCCATTTTGATCCAGGCCAGCGTATGGGATCAACTTCACTAATACCTGAGATCAATCCAAAGGACCTACAAACATAGAAGACAATTCAAGATACTGTTGTACATGGAAAAATGATTTCCAAAGTTAAAAGAATGTAGACCTCTCGTTAGCATCTTCATTCTCGCAACCAACTTTAAACCTGGTTCCAATTGAAAAAGGATAGTTCAAGCCTTTCAAGAACTTGCAATACGGCACAATAAATTCTGATGCACTAACCCTGTTTAAGGACAAAACACTGTCATTAGTTAAATAAAACTATACTAATACTCGAAGTAGACATTGTTTTTTGGAGGTTGCATGTTCCTTAAAATTTACAAATGCGCATGAGTTAAGCAGTACAGACAAATGTGCATTCACAAAATAAAAATACAGCACTAATTCAAGGCATGTCAGGCATCACTAGGTGACCTTGGAGGTGCAGAGATCCAAATTTTGAAGACCACTTAACTGGGCTACCCAATAAATTTTTCTGTGAGGAAGTGAAAAAAAGATTACAGAAGCTGAAGAATTATGAACTTGCAAAGAACTGTATGGTTGTATCTACCCCTGTGCAGTTCACAGTGACTAACTAGAATCTAATGATCCTACTGTGCACCAGTAAACAGACCTTGGGTTGAAACAGACGTGAAATACACTTCTGTTGTCCAAAGAACTGGCCACAGCAGACAGCATAAGTAGCTTCGAATCAGTACAGTTGACAGCTTCAAGTAGAGCTTCATTTTTCAGTTGTACTGCTCTCCTCACACCCAATCTTAGCTCACCATCATTACCTCTGTATGTCAAAGGAATGAACACAAATGAGAAGTGGAAACCACTCAAGTTGGTACGTATAGCACATTGCCAACATGCTTACCTAAGAAACAAGACTGCGTCCCCTGAGACTAGTTTCTTCTTATTGATAAATGAACTCCATCCAGTTGTCAGAAGATGCCTACGAGGTTGACCTGAAATTGAAGAAAAAGCTTTAGCTCTGATCTATCAAACTTTTAGCACTAATCTAACTCTTTGGGCCTTGTGTTTTGCCCCAAGTTCTGACAAGCATCGACAGATAACAGGACCAGGCGGAACAAATTATGAAACTTAGCACACTGTCAGAAAGGAAGGCGGAAACTGCTTCCACATGAGCCATCAACAGATTCCCTAGTTAATACAATTGGCAGTAACTTCTAATACTAAATACTCTTCCCAAATTTCATTTCTTACCTTACTGACCCAACAATTCCTTTCTACAAATCAAAACAATAGGAAAGGCTCCTACAGTGCATACATCAGTGATCTAACCAATTGAATACTTGCCACAATAAAATGAACCCTTGCTTTAGAAACTGAAACACATGAACTCTTTTTAGTCCAACAATAAACATGCTCCATACTAATACTGACCCAATTTCACCCACTAGTTCAGGCCCATACCATTTACCAAGCATAACACAACGTTCCTTGGGGAAAAGTAGCGCACATTCACTTTCCATGTGAAGCATGAAGAAGCATACGCCATATAGATGTTGCATTAGCAATTATAAATTCTAATACAAATTAGACCTTCAATGTAGGAGTACTCCAAAATACTAGACCATGTGTTGGTACCTCTATAGATATGACGGAACCTCCATTTCAAGCCATGCAAATCCTTGGCAACAAGCTCTTGGGAAGGCCTAAGCTGCTCATAGTCCTAGAAAAAAAAGATGAAACAGGAACTGGTTAGAGCAGCATTTCAACTTAATCTGGGATTAAGAGCAAACTAAAGTCTGTTCCATGTGTATCACCAATGGTGGAAAGCAGTCCTCTGCAGCCCGCCGAGGAACAGAGAATCCCCCATGTGTGCTTGTATCAGAAGCTGTGAGTGTCTTGCAGAACATGTGCGATGTGAGCTTCTTTTCTCCATCACCATCCTCTTGCTCACCATTCTTCTCTTCAGTTTCACCATCATGGATGTTTCGGCAAAACATCTGGGTCCAAATAAACAATGTTTCTAGAGACCTATGGGAGAAAGTTTTCTTGTTTCCAACCACACAGCATGCAAGATACCTATTTCATCCATTGTCCATTACAATGAGGTGCCGAAATAAGCTATGATCGATTCTCCTAGTAGTACAGTACTAGTAAGCAACTAGTACTACCACCAAGAACGAAGCAATGCCTCCAAAATTAAGTTATAATAAAGTAATCCCAAGGGGGGAAAAAAGGACTACTACTACAGTAAGGAATGGTTTGTTACTGTGACTGATATCAAATTATCAAGCCGTAAGTCACCAAAGTGAAACCAAGCATTAATATTAATAATAAGGAAAACAGGAAAAGGACCAAAAAAGCAATGACAAGGTAATGTTGTTAACGACGCCTAAGCCTCTACCAAGGTACTAGTACTAAGCACTAACTCTAAATCGATGTGACACTGTACTCTTGACTCCAATTCAATCATTTCGAAAAAAAAAACTCGAAATTGGCTAGGTCCCCCACGTTTCGTTTCGTTACCAAAAAATACTCTAGTGATATCTAGCTGAAACGCTCTGGCAAAAGGTAAACTGCAGAAGGAACAGGGAAAGAAGTCAATGGAACAGATACCATATCCAACATCCCCAGTAGAAATCAATCAAACAATTTGGCCGAAAACACTGCGCCCCCACCGCGAGCTACAAACTTGTTCGAAGGGATGGAAGGGCGGCACTCACCTTATCCTCCGCCACCAGCGCAAGCCGCGCGTACACCTCGTCCGTCGCCGCATCCGCCTGCACGCACACGCAGTCACGCACCGGCGTCAGAAACAAAACAAAACCAAACCAAATCAGCAGTCGTGCAGCACGACGAAAGGTGGGACCAACTCACGCGTAGCTCGACGTCGACGACGCGGCACACCACGTGCGGCGGCACGCGCGCCGCCGCCGCAAGGGCCGGCAGCTCCCCACCGTCGCAGTCGACCCCGCCGGCCTCGAGGTGCGCCTGAGGCAGGTACACCACGGCGCTGCCCCGCCGCGGCAGCGCCACCCCAGCCCCCGCGCACGCGTGCCACAGCTCCGCGCACACCGCGCCGCCCGCCGGCTCGTCCTCCTCCACGGTGTTGAGATCAATCCCCATCTCTCTCTCCCGCCTTCTAATGGGGTCCGTCCGTCGGCCTACCCGCGGCGGCACGTTAATGGCAGCCAGGCAGCAACCTCCGAAGCGAAGAAGCGGACGGCGTACAGGTGAGATGAGGGTGATAGAGGCGGGCGGGGCAGTTAAATCGGCGGAGGCGGCAGTGGCATTAATGCGCTTGTCCCCCCGGAGGCGCCGCTCCCGCCGAGGCTGGGCAGTGCCCCGTCCCCCACGCCCCTGCGCCAGAGCCAGAGCCCACCACCGCAGTCCGCAGCGCAGCGGCTTCGATGCGTGCGGGCCGCGGCTCCTGTTCCCGCCACGCCCGCTGCGGCAGCACGGCAGTCAGCAGTGGGCGTGGCGACTTTATGCTGGGGGCCAGGGCCGTGGCGATGGGGCCGCCGGGCTTTTGGCTCGGCTCCGGGTGGTTTTGGTGGGGTTTCTTCCCATCGGGCGCCGCGGCACGGCGTCCGTAGGCGCGTAACCGTTGGTGCCGTGCCGTAACGGCCGCCGGACGGGACTGTTCCCGCACAGGGAGGCCCGGTGTCTGCTCCTCTCGCCGCCTCGGGACCGGCTATAAATCGAAGCCCTCGTTTAGTTATTCTGCAAAATCTAAAAAAAGGTGGCGAATTTTGCTCCGCGTAGACGAAAAAAAAAACTAATTGCACAGTTTGGTGGGAAATTCGAACGTTTTAAGCGCTAATTAGTCAATGTTTGACACTATTTGCAAATAAAAACGTGCGTGCTTAAAATGCTTTCGCGAAAAAGGTGGCGGCCCGCGGCGCTTGCTTGTGTGCTGTGCGTGCTGCTTTCGCGAATAACGGCCCCGGCGGCAGCGCCGCGCTCCGGAAAGGCGGAGGAGGTTTTTGCTTCGTTTTACCGGCAGATTTGCCTTTATTTTTTCCATGAATTGTGGGTAGATTTGCTTTTGGCAAATGGAATCTATTGTTTGTCTTTTGCCAGGGAGAACGCAAATGCGCAATCCAGTGGTCTCATTTTATAATTGTCATCAAATCGAGCAGCAGGTAAATGGTGGAGTAGTTACTTTTGTCTTTCATACGGGAACCACGGGATCAGGAGAGTGGCTGGAACTCGGTTCTCGCGGCTGATTGATTTATATAACTAATTTATTATATGAGAAAAATATTATTTTCTAATTAAAAAAAGTAGGACGGATTCTGTTTTATAAACTCAAGCAAATAGAAGCCCTCGTTATGGATTTGTTACGGATATAGATAGCCATTCGGGCCACCTGGCCCGGCATGGCACGGGCCCGTGCTCGGCATGGCCTGTCTGGTGCAGCGGGCTGTGCCGTGCTAACCCACGGGCGGCACCAATGGCCCAAGCACAGCCCTAAAGGCCGGGTGCCGTGCCGTGCTGGCCCTACTGGCCCAACGGACGACCTTGATGCCGTATGTTACACGGTCTCCAACAAAAGACTCATATGAGCATCCAAACCTAAAATATGAAATAAAACCTAAAATCAGCCTACAACAGACTATCTATAGCGAGAGACTCATTTTATATTGACAAAACCTAAATATAAGTATCTCTCTCTACTGAAAATCATTTATAAAAAGGATTCTCTTTTAGGTCCTGTTATCGAAGAAGATATTGAATATATATTGTGTAGTGTTATCCAAAAGTCAAATGGGTCTCGTAGTTTAGATGTTGTCGTTGGATATAGTCTTATGATTCACGAACAGGTCACGCCCCACCTGCCACCTGGTTGCGTTTTCTGGGCAGAGAAGAGAGCCCAGGGATACAGATACAGCCGAGTTGCACACTCGACGATTCCCTCCTGCTTTTCTCATACAGCGGCAAGTGTTTGGCCGAAACAGCCAAGTAGGCCCCGGTCGAATACGAGTCATGCGCACCACCGACGGCGTCTGCGTCCTGTCAGGAACACGGCGACCCGACCGCAAAATCGCCCGTCTACTGCGCCGCCGTCGCCCAGCCGGCGCATCAAGCGAGCCCAAGTGCCCAACGGCCCAACGCGATGCTCTTCGAGGCAACGCCATAAAAGCGGCGGCAGCCGCTCCATCGCGTCGCTTTTGTGGCGACCGCACGGTCAGCCGGTGCCGGGTCCGCCTGCCTGCGCAGCGCAGCGCGCCTGTGTCACGGCCGGGCCAGCGGCCGAGCAGCGGCTCGGCCGGGCGCTCGACCCCTTGCTTTCGCTCCTTTCCGCTCGCCGGGCGTCAGACAACCGGGCCCATTCGGCGGAGAGGAGGAGAAAACAAAAGAGCGACCTTTGCCGTGCGGGCGGCGAGTTCCTTTCTGGTGGGGCGCGTCGCGTCAGACGACATGACGGCACGCAGCAGCGGCAGCAGGGAGAGAGGCCGCGCGGCTTTCACGGGGGGCGGTGTCGCCCACCCGGCGCGCGCTTCCTGCTGCTGCTCTGCTTTTTTCCAGGAGTGCGCGCTGCGTCCAGCCGTCTTTGCTCGGCTCTGAGCTCTGCCTCCCCCTGCAGGTCTGGCGATGTTCACGTGGCGTGGCCCGACCGTGATACGAGTGACACGTCCGCTTTTACTGGGCCATTGGGCCTCACTGGCGGCTGCCGCTCCTGTTGACGACCGGTCAAAAAACAGTGCTCCTGCCTCGGCGACCGTGTCCGATACTGTAGTCGTGCTCAGTGATGTGACGCTCGAAGAGAGAAGGGCCCGTCGTCGGTGGCTTCTGGACTTTTGGTTCTGGGGCCGTCAAGGCGTGAACCGTGAAATACCTGTGGGCTGTGGTGAGCCCCAGCGAGCCCGGGAGTTCCCGCTTCAGATGGCCGTTTACTGTAGTCGTTACTGCCCTCCGGGAGCCCTTAATGCTGCATGGATGTCAGGAGCTGGGCCGCTTGATGGGCTTCCAAGCTGGGCCGGGACAGGAACAGCGGAATAAAAGCCCTTAATTCTTAGTAGAAGCCTAATTGGATCCATCTTCTAATATGTTGCTAATAAGTGGTTGACTAATTCAAAAAAAAAAATGGTTGACGTCTTAGGACCTGCTACTACTATTAGCAGCTCTAAGTCTGCCAGTGGAACTAATAGTAGTAGTCTCCTAACTAATCATTAATTGATCTATTAGCGTATGTGTTTGGACTTTCGATCCGTCGGTAACAGCTGTGGAACAAACTGATTTATAAGCTATACTTTTTCAGCCAACAAATATTATTTTTCTCTCACAATAAATCAGCCAACAGTACTTTCAGCGATGGTTATCAGCCAATCGAATATGGCAATTTTTTTCTAGCCGAGAGAACCTTCGTGCAGCAACCCGTGGCATTGCTGACTCAAATGCATGCAGTGGCCCTCTTGTCCACGCCGGCCCATCACACATGACCAACTTTTTCTATTTTTTTTAACAAGTCTTTTTTTCGTCTCCTTGAACTAGAGTTCAGAAATCCTGCCCTCAGCCCAGGTAGATGGAGATTTGATCTGGGAAGGAAGATATATGGAGATTTGATCTGGGCCTCTTCATTTTAGATCTAATATAAGGGGAAAAGAATCAAATGATGGTTTCCCTTAAATCACTCTTGCCTAGACAAACTGTATTTTTTTACATATATATGTCGGTCGGTCTTTTAGATGAAGAAAGCTTTAACTTGAGATGAATTCTTATATGATAATTTTTCTTGATGATGATTTGTTGTTGTGGTTAAATTCTTAATCCACCTTCTGAACCGTCACATCATACTTATTCTCGTATGCAAGTACTCCTTACATTTGAATTACAAGGATCTTATTGATTCTCGCGGTAGGGAGACCGCACAGATCCGATTTTAATCGAAAACAAACACCCTCATACATAAGTTCTGTGTGTTCCCCTAGTTCATGCTTGCGGTGTTTTCGATACAAGGGTCAAGGGATACTTACACAACTGAAACGAGGTTCTTTGCCGAGGGCCGGATACGCTCGGCAAAGAGGCCTTTGCCCTCGGCAAAGGCTTTGTCGAGAGTTGCTCTTGGCAAAGGCCGGTCGACACAGTACCTCACGGCAAAGGCTACTTTGCCGAGAGCCGCATCTCGGGCTCTCGGCAAAGGATTTGCCGAGGGTTAGCCGGCCATCGGCAAAAATTTTTGCCGTGATGGCGAGAGGTCACGGTAAAGTTGATCTTTGCCGAGAGCCTTAGCAAGCTCTCGGCAAAGAATTTCTGAATTTTTTTTTTCCAAAAAACTTTGCCGAGCGTCTGTCAGAATAGCTCTCGGCAAAGAATATTGACAATTTTTTTAGACATTTTTTTGCCGAGAGCTATGGCTCAGCTCTCGGCAAAGACTTCCTCTTCTTGAGGGCTATGGTCATGCTTTCGGCAAAGCTGAGATTCTATGTGTTCTAGAATTCCCGACTTTTGCCGAGGGCATGACCATAGCCCTCAACAAAGCTCTGACCGATTTTAATTTTTTTTGTTTTTTGCATTTCTAGTCAACAAATAAACATATATATGACATCCACATCACAATAAGCACATCCACATATCAATAACCACATCCACATCACATAATTCACATCCACATCACATAGAAGTCTCGAAGTTCGAAGTCACAAACAAATCTCGACACATAGACAACCACAAGTGTAAAGTTCGACAAGCAACATAAACAAGAGGCATAGGAGGCGCCAAACTGGTCACGGTGACGGTCCGGGCCGAGAAGGCGCCGCGTGCGATCCTGGGGAGTTGACGAGAAGGTTAGGGTCGTTCGACGCCGCCGACTGACGCTACACAAACAAAGAAGATGCAGAACGTGTTAGACAACATAAATAGATAAACAGACACTACATGTACTTTTTACCACCACGACCACACCACCACCACCACACTACTACTACCACCACCAACAAGCACACCACCACGCCACCACCACAACCACACCACTACTACCACCAACAACAACCACACCACCACGCCACCACCTCCACCAACCACGCAGCCACCACCACGACCATGCCACCACCACCACCAACCACACCGCCACCACCACCCACCACCATCACCACTAGCACTAGGTTTCACTAGGTTTTACT